GCTAAAACATACGAAGAACCGTTGCAGGAATTGGGTGGGTCTCAAACAAGGACTAGGCGGGACATGATGGCAGTCTTTCAATACTTGAGGGCTTTCATAAAAAAGGGGAGTCAAGTCAGTCAACCTATTCTCCAAAGCACCTGACGGCAGAATAAGAAGTAATGGACGAGGATAGCCACAATGTTCAAGAATAAATCGGAGAAGTGTTGGAAATGTCAACAGACCCCAGGATCCTATTACCATATGTGGGGGACATGCGTAGAAACAAGAAGACATTGGACTAAGATATACATGTGGTTGGAAAAAATGATAAAGAGACATATTGATTTTAAACCAGAGATATTTCTATTAGGGATCTTACCAGAGACATATAATAAAGAACTGCAAGATTTAATTGTGAATATTTTAACAGCGGCTAGAATTGTATTTGCTGGGGAAAAAAAATTCTTAAAAAAAAGAAGAAGTAATGGATGGCAACTAATCAAGGAGAGAACCAACCTAGAACTAAGGAGAAATATGCCAACAGTGAGAACAATTAATCAATGGAACGGCTTGTCTTCAGAGGCTGTGGGGGCTCCATCACTGTAGGTTTTCAAGAAGGGTTTGGAGAGCTCTTGGTCTGTAATGGTATAGGGTCTCCTGCTTGACTAGGGGGTTAGACTAGAAGACCTCCAAGGTTCTTCTCTTCTCTTCTCTTCTCTTCTCTTATTTCCTCTTTCTCTCCTCTCCTCTCCCCTCAAAATCTTAGTCCTGGGGTCTGGCTACCCCCAAAGCAGTTGGTTCAGAATTTGGGACTTTCTTTCCGTCTTGTGATTATAGGTACCAGGATCCTTCAGAGATGATGGTTCTGACCTTAACTGTGGCACTGCTGGATTACTGTAGGACCTTCTAAATGGGGCAGCTTTTGGAGACAGACTGGAAGCTGAAAGTGTCCAAAATGAAGGGGAGATTGGGAGGAGGTTCAGTCCTGCCATGGCTGGTCTCCTGGGAGGGTTCCAGATACAGTTCCGTTCTGGTGAACTGGCCAACATTGAGGTCAACCTGGGACAGTACCAGGATACATCAGGCATCCCCCAGATGGGAAATACATCCCAACCCAGTTCCGCCTGCCTCCCCCTCCCCCCACTTCCTAGAAAGCTAGCAGGAGATGGTATGAAGTTGCTTTTCTTGTTATGAAGCCCAACCTTTGCAGATCTCCACCGCTGAAGGTCCAGACTGCTCCCCAGCCCTCGATATTTCAGAAAACGGGCAAAACAACCCCTATTCTACCAAGCTTCCATGTTCTCCGCGTTCTGATAGTAAATTGTGTTGCTTTATATTTCTACTGTATTGTAAAAGGTGTCTCCTGTTTGAGGCAGGCTAGAGCGTTTCTTTATAAATGTTTGTTTGTTTGTTTGTTCATAAAATATAACTGCCTAACTCCAGTGGACTTGGGGCAGCATGCAAAGCCAAACAAAATCCATCAAAGTCCCAAAAGTGCTTTTCCAAAAGGCAACTGGATTTCCTTGGTTTTTTTCCTTGAAAACATTTCACTTCTCATCCAAGAAGCTTCTTCAATTCTGTGACACAGACTGATAGAAGATAAGATAGACAGACAGACAGACAGACAGACAGACAGACAGATGACAGATGACAGATGACAGAAGATAGATAGATAGATAGATAGATAGATAGATAGATAGATAGATAGATGGATGGATGGATGGATGGATGGATGGATGGATGGATGGATGGATGGATGGAGCCATTATAGTTCCCCCACAGTCACAGGAGTGTAATTCAGGCTTTTGGCCAAGGGAGTGCGATGGCTAAAGTAGATAACCAATGTTTGGGAAGAAAACAGGCCAAGCTTGCAATTCTTCATTTATTATATTCAAGAAAAGAATAAAGAATTTATTATATTCAAGAAAAAAAATTATGAATTTGCAATTTAATGACAAAATTTCAAACAAAACATTGGGAGGGGAATGGAAATAGGAAAATCCCCCAAAGCGTTCCAGATAAATTTGCTCAATAACCTAACAATGTGAGGAAAATACATATAGCAAATAAAAATTTCCTTCAGAGTTCTAGTTGTTAAGTTGGGTGAATGAGGACGCAGCAAGCCAGGCAGTGAGTGACAACAGCTCTTTAATGTAGGGTGAGAACCCAGCGACTGACCGAGGGAAACAGCTCCCTTTATATACCTTGCAGCTGTGGTGGTCAGCCAATCAGCTGAGGGTCAGTTAGTTCAAACTTCCCGCCAAGAAAACCTATTTACATAACACTAGTCATCATGCATGGGGGGGGAAAAAGAGGTTGAACAACATTACCCAATTCCTCATGACAATATTTTGTTAAACCACCAACACTCCAGGCTCACCTAATAAAATGACATCCATCCATCCATCCATCCATCATTCCATCCACCCATCCATCCCTTTCTATATTATCTTTCTCAATGCTCCTAGCAACGTCATCATTATGAAGCAGGTTGTAACTTTTTCTGGAGAAAGCCTTAAGGAAGGCAGTCAACCCAAAAGCCATTGACTGCGTCTCCCCAGAAACCCTCTGCCAGTTTCCTCCATCCGAGCTTCACCTGACAGAGCAAGAACTGCTCTCTACAAGAGTCAGAAAGGATTCGAAAGTTGCATGTCTAAGGATTCTCCTGGTTTTTCTTTTTCCCAGGAGCTATTTATGTCCATGTTTCTGCTAACTTTTAACTGGATAAGCATGTTGAGAGGACACTTCATTTCTGCTTGGTGAAAACCTCGAGGAAGGTGGTCAGTCTGAAGGTTACAGATTATGAAATTCAACCAAACATCTAGTGTCTGTCAGCCATCCCAACTTAGTCAATTAGGAAAGAAAGACTCTTGACTCCATTATTAACAAAAGTACATTTCAGTAAAGCCAAGTGGTTGCAAAGCCGGATCTGAACTTTTTGCGCCAAACGCATCCAATTAACTTTTCTCCTTTCCCTCCTTCCCCCTTGGTTAGCTTTTATTGTCCAGTGACATTCGAATAAATTATTGTGGTAACCGTCCCTGGCTAGGATGGTGTTGCATTCCATAGTATGGCCTTGGAACGGCCAGCTGTAGTATCTCATGGGATACTACGTTTGATACCCCTTATCGCAGCCACCCCTTCACCACCCTGTAGCTCCCATCCACCACCACCACCACCCAAATTGGATAGAGCAGACTGGCATTTGGCAAAGGAGAGCTAATGTGGTAGAATGACAGTCCTGGCAGTGTCTTGCATGTATCTTTTTTTGCCCTGATCATACTCAGGAAAAACAAGAGTTGGCCTCTTGATGTGCTTAGAACTTAAAACTTCTGAGAAGAATCCTACATTCTCCTGTGTCTTTCCAGGATCTTCCTCAGGGCCCCCTTCACCTCCTTGTTGCGTAGGCTGTAGATCAGGGGGTTCACCATGGGGGTGACAATGCAATACATGGTGGAAATTAGGGTGTCGGTCTCCAGGGAGTAGCCAGCACTGGGCTGGTTGTAGTTAATGGCACCATTTCCAAAATAAAGAATGACCACCATCACGTGAGAAATACAAGTAGAAAAAGCTTTGTGCCTCCCTGTGTTGGAACGGATACGCAGGATGGATGCAAGGATGTAGAAGTAGGAGATGACCACAAAAAGGAAGGGACCCAATCCCACAAACACAGTGGCTAGGTGGATTGTTATCTCACTGACAAATTTGTCACCACAGGCGATTTTCAACAGTGGGGGTAGATCACAGAAGATGTGGTAGATCTGATTATGTCCACAGAAATGGAAGTTGGAAGCCAAGGCTGTGTGAACTGCTGCATCCAGGAAGCCCCAGATCCAGATGATCACAGCTGCTTGCATGCAAACACGTGGACTCATGAGGTGTGAGTAGCGCAAAGGCTGACAGATGGCAGCGTAGCGGTCATAAGCCATGATGGCCAGCAACCAGCATTCTGAGCCCGAGAAGGCCATCAAGAAGAACATCTGAGCAAAGCAAAGGTTGTAGGATATGGTGTGTCTTTGGCGAAGGAGATTTGCTAGGATCTTGGGGACGGTGACCGTTGAGTAGCAGACATCCAAGCAGGATAAGTGGCTGAGGAAAAAATACATGGGACTGTGAAGGTGGGAGTCCACCAGGATGAGAGTGATGATCATGAAGTTACCCAGAATGGTGACCAAATAGATGATGAGGAACAGCAGGATGAGATAGACCTGGCCATGTGTGATGTTGGAGAAACCCAGAAAAACAAACTCAGTAACTAGAGTGTGGTTGCTGAAATCCATGGGAATTCAGGGATCCTGAGTAGCAAAGATCTGAAGGAGAGCAAAAAGATAACTAAATGAGTTTTTTGTTTTAACCTCCAAATATACACCAATTTTACAAAGCAAATATTTTGACTTGTCTGCTCAGGTTTTGTGGTGGATTAAACAGTCTACAAAATATAAATTGTGCACTTAATCGAAGTTGACAGAGATACTAAGTTATTATTTTTTGCTCCTATCGATTGAAATCTGTCAACTCTACTAGGGCCATCAAACAGTTAACAGAATAACAGAATTGGAAGGGGCCTTTGAGTCCAACCCGCTCCTCAAGCAGGAGACTCTCTACCATTCTGGACAACAGGCTGTCCAATCTCTTCTTAAAACCTCCAGTATTGGAGCACCCACAACTTCTGGAGGCAAGTCATTCCCTTTAAATCTCAAAGACTCTTCTTGGGTGTAGGCAACGTCTGATAATTCCACATTCAAGGCTTGGTTGATGAAGAGTAAATGAAGCACCTTTCAGATCTCCTGTAATGACAAGTAGTCATAACTACGGAACTGAAGAGGCTACAAACATGGCTTTCCAAGCAGGAGAACTCAGGAATCTGCTTCAGTTGTCTCGCAGTGTCAGTTGAAGATGTTCTCCACTCTAGAGCTTAGCCTGAACACTTCATGCATCATGTTCACATTACTCTAGTTTACTGGATGGCTTACATTTCAGGGTGTACTTCCAATGATTAATTTCTCTCTTGTTTTTGTTCATCTCGGGGACTTCTTCTCAACATGTTCATTTGATGCCTTCAGCGGAGGTTTTCTCTTCCTGAAAGCACCATCTTCATCCAGGAGATGAAGGAGAAGCTCTTTCTGATAAGGAGAAAAATGAAGAATCTTAGCCATAGTTTCCATCTGCAGTTGGGGACTGACTGACTTGAGTCTTAACAGGGTAAGATTGAAGCGACCTTGGACAACCTCAGAATGTATGGCTAGATTAGCATGGAGCAACCTTGGAAATTCCAGGGAAAGTCAAGGAAGATCTCAGCAGAAGGCTTTGGGAGAACAATATGCCAGAGAACTTGGTAGAGAGGTTGATCTGGGAAACAAGTTCTATGTTAGAACATTTTGGATCAAGACTTCAGAACATCTTCCTCAAAACTTCCTCCCCTCCTAAGAACAAACTGCCCTGAAACTATGGAAGGTGAGTTAGAAGTTACCTTCTGACACAAATAAAGAAAAGAATATTGTAGGAAGAAGAGTAAACTATGAATGCTAATGTCTTTCTAGAAAGCTATGATAGATCTATGCTCAGAATGCCCTTATGGCCTCCACATTTAAAACATGGTGTCTCAGAACTGGAAAAAGAACATGAGAGGACAAGAAAAATGATAAAGGAGCTCAAATCCTAGCCTTGGAAAGAGATTTAGAAGACACCAAAGAAAATCTTTCTTCACACAGCCACAAATCAGGGTGAAGGCATCTAACTTGCATGTCCTTGAATGAGTGTTGCATGAACTCACAACGGACACATACTGTATTTCCTGGGCTACTCAGACCAGATGCAGCTGGCTGAAGAAATGTTTGTCTTTTACCTGGAAGTACACATGAAGGAATCATTAATGGTCTGCCTTTTCTGCTTGGAGGCGTAGTAAGGGTGTCCCTTTAAAGCTTGGGAGATAGAACACTACCTGAAGGAGGGTGAGGGGACAAGTCTAACATGAAGATTTTGGGGGAGGCATTCTGTGAAGCTACTGACCTGGGGGTGGGTGGGCTGCTGGTGTCTTGCTCCAGATGTGGTGATGAAGCTCACCTCTGCATTGCTCTCGGTCCACTTTTTTTGAAGGGAGGAAACATGCATTGGCTTCATTTGGGCTTCATTTGGGCTTCTTCTTTGTCTCCTGCACAGAAGACAAATGAATGGAAGGAGTTTGCTCTCCAATGTCTTTGAGGCATCCCCCAACCTCCTTGGCCCAAGAGTGGAATTCATTATGGAAAGAGCCAGGCTGAGGGAGGGAGAAGACTGTGGTTGTGCATGAGGGAGACAAAAGTAACTGGGGACAATTAGTCCAGAGGGAATGTGCAATCCTGAAGCCCACAAGCATAAAGTAATGATGTTGTGTTCAGATACCATGTTCTGTCCCACTGAGGAGACCACACAAAGACCAAAGTTGGGAGATGGAGCCTAATTTGCTTTCCATGGTAGCCTGGTCCACAATATCCCCATTTTAGCCAAGGTGGGCGTGTTCCCCAAACCCACTCCTATTTCTTCTCTTTTCAGTTGACCTCAACAAGGAGCCTCAAGGACCACAAAGCTGGTTCCTGGCCAGGGTCACAGCAAGAAGCCAGAGGGGCCTCTGTCAGAAGGGCTTCTTCTGGGATTTTACAAAGAGTTCAGAGATGAGCAACAAAGATGATTAGGGAACTGGAGGCTAAAACATACGAAGAACCGTTGCAGGAATTGGGTGGGTCTCAAACAAGGACTAGGCGGGACATGATGGCAGTCTTTCAATACTTGAGGGCTTTCATAAAAAAGGGGAGTCAAGTCAGTCAACCTATTCTCCAAAGCACCTGACGGCAGAATAAGAAGTAATGGACGAGGATAGCCACAATGTTCAAGAATAAATCGGAGAAGTGTTGGAAATGTCAACAGACCCCAGGATCCTATTACCATATGTGGGGGACATGCGTAGAAACAAGAAGACATTGGACTAAGATATACATGTGGTTGGAAAAAATGATAAAGAGACATATTGATTTTAAACCAGAGATATTTCTATTAGGGATCTTACCAGAGACATATAATAAAGAACTGCAAGATTTAATTGTGAATATTTTAACAGCGGCTAGAATTGTATTTGCTGGGGAAAAAAAATTCTTAAAAAAAAGAAGAAGTAATGGATGGCAACTAATCAAGGAGAGAACCAACCTAGAACTAAGGAGAAATATGCCAACAGTGAGAACAATTAATCAATGGAACGGCTTGTCTTCAGAGGCTGTGGGGGCTCCATCACTGTAGGTTTTCAAGAAGGGTTTGGAGAGCCCTTGGTCTGTAATGGTATAGGGTCTCCTGCTTGACTAGGGGGTTAGACTAGAAGACCTCCAAGGTTCTTCTCTTCTCTTCTCTTCTCTTCTCTTCTCTTCTCTTCTCTTCTCTTCTCTTCTCTTCTCTTATTTCCTCTTTCTCTCCTCTCCTCTCCCCTCAAAATCTTAGTCCTGGGGTCTGGCTACCCCCAAAGCAGTTGGTTCAGAATTTGGGACTTTCTTTCCGTCTTGTGATTATAGGTACCAGGATCCTTCAGAGATGATGGTTCTGACCTTAACTGTGGCACTGCTGGATTACTGTAGGACCTTCTAAATGGGGCAGCTTTTGGAGACAGACTGGAAGCTGAAAGTGTCCAAAATGAAGGGGAGATTGGGAGGAGGTTCAGTCCTGCCATGGCTGGTCTCCTGGGAGGGTTCCAGATACAGTTCCGTTCTGGTGAACTGGCCAACATTGAGGTCAACCTGGGACAGTACCAGGATACATCAGGCATCCCCCAAATGGGAAATACATCCCAACCCAGTTCCGCCTGCCTCCCCCTCCCCCCACTTCCTAGAAAGCTAGCAGGAGATGGTATGAAGTTGCTTTTCTTGTTATGAAGCCCAACCTTTGCAGATCTCCACCGCTGAAGGTCCAGACTGCTCCCCAGCCCTCGATATTTCAGAAAACGGGCAAAACAACCCCTATTCTACCAAGCTTCCATGTTCTCCGCGTTCTGATAGTAAATTGTGTTGCTTTATATTTCTACTGTATTGTAAAAGGTGTCTCCTGTTTGAGGCAGGCTAGAGCGTTTCTTTATAAATGTTTGTTTGTTTGTTTGTTCATAAAATATAACTGCCTAACTCCAGTGGACTTGGGGCAGCATGCAAAGCCAAACAAAATCCATCAAAGTCCCAAAGTGCTTTTCCAAAAGGCAACTGGACTTCCTTGGTTTTTTTTCCTTGAAAACATTTCACTTCTCATCCAAGAAGCTTCTTCAATTCTGTGACACAGACTGATAGAAGATAAGATAGACAGACAGACAGACAGACAGACAGACAGACAGATGACAGATGACAGATGACAGAAGATAGATAGATAGATAGATAGATAGATAGATAGATGGATGGATGGATGGATGGATGGATGGATGGATGGATGGATGGATGGAGCCATTATAGTTCCCCCACAGTCACAGGAGTGTAATTCAGGCTTTTGGCCAAGGGAGTGCGATGGCTAAAGTAGATAACCAATGTTTGGGAAGAAAACAGGCCAAGCTTGCAATTCTTCATTTATTATATTCAAGAAAAGAATAAAGAATTTATTATATTCACGAAAAAAAATTATGAATTTGCAATTTAATGACAAAATTTCAAACAAAACATTGGGAGGGGAATGGAAATAGGAAAATCCCCCAAAGCGTTCCAGATAAATTTGCTCAATAACCTAACCATGTGAGGAAAATACATATAGCAAATAAAAATTTCCTTCAGAGTTCTAGTTGTTAAGTTGGGTGAATGAGGACGCAGCAAGCCAGGCAGTGAGTGACAACAGCTCTTTAATGTAGGGTGAGAACCCAGCGACTGACCGAGGGAAACAGCTCCCTTTATATACCTTGCAGCTGTGGTGGTCAGCCAATCAGCTGAGGGTCAGTTAGTTCAAACTTCCCGCCAAGAAAACCTATTTACATAACACTAGTCATCATGCATGGGGGGAAAAAAAGAGGTTGAACAACATTACCCAATTCCTCATGACAATATTTTGTTAAACCACCAACACTCCAGGCTCACCTAATAAAACGATATCCATCCATCCATCCATCCATCATTCCATCCACCCATCCATCCCTTTCTATATTATCTTTCTCAATGCTCCTAGCAACGTCATCATTATGAAGCAGGTTGTAACCTCTTTCTGGAGAAAGCCTTAAGGAAGGCAGTCAACCCAAAAGCCATTGACTGCGTCTCCCCAGAAACCCTCTGCCAGTTTCCTCCATCCGAGCTTCACCTGACAGAGCAAGAACTGCTCTCTACAAGAGTCAGAAAGGATTCGAAAGTTGCATGTCTAAGGATTCTCCTGGTTTTTCTTTTTCCCAGGAGCTATTTATGTCCATGTTTCTGCTAACTTTTAACTGGATAAGCATGTTGAGAGGACACTTCATTTCTGCTTGGTGAAAACCTCGAGGAAGGTGGTCAGTCTGAAGGTTACAGATTATGAAATTCAACCAAACATCTAGTGTCTGTCAGCCATCCCAACTTAGTCAATTAGGAAAGAAAGACTCTTGACTCCATTATTAACAAAAGTACATTTCAGTAAAGCCAAGTGGTTGCAAAGCCGGATCTGAACTTTTTGCGCCAAACGCATCCAATTAACTTTTCTCCTTTCCCTCCTTCCCCCTTGGTTATCTTTTATTGTCCAGTGACATTCGAATAAATTATTGTGGTAACCGTCCCTGGCTAGGATGGTGTTGCATTCCATAGTATGGCCTTGGAACGGCCGGCTGTAGTATCTCATGGGATACTACGAAGAGTAGTTTTGATACCCCTTATCCCAGCCATCTCTTCACCACCCTGTAGCTCCCATCCACCCCCCAAATTGGATAGGGCAGACTGGCATTTGGCAAAAGAGAGCTAATGTGGTAGAATGACAGTCCTGGCAGTGTCTTGCATGTATCTTTTTTTGCCCTGATCATACTCAGGAAAAACAAGAGTTGGCCTCTTGATGTGCTTAGAACTTAAAACTTCTGAGAAGAATCCTACATTCTCCTGTGTCTTTCCAGGATCTTCCTCAGGGCCCCCTTCACCTCCTTGTTGCGTAGGCTGTAGATCAGGGGGTTCACCATGGGGGTGACAATGCAATACATGGTGGAAATTAGGGTGTCGGTCTCCAGGGAGTAGCCAGCACTGGGCTGGTTGTAGTTAATGGCACCATTTCCAAAATAAAGAATGACCACCATCACGTGAGAAATACAAGTAGAAAAAGCTTTGTGCCTCCCTGTGTTGGAACGGATACGCAGGATGGATGCAAGGATGTAGAAGTAGGAGATGACCACAAAAAGGAAGGGACCCAATCCCACAAACACAGTGGCTAGGTGGATTGTTATCTCACTGACAAATTTGTCACCACAGGCGATTTTCAACAGTGGGGGTAGATCACAGAAGATGTGGTAGATCTGATTATGTCCACAGAAATGGAAGTTGGAAGCCAAGGCTGTGTGAACTGCTGCATCCAGGAAGCCCCAGATCCAGATGATCACAGCTGCTTGCATGCAAACACGTGGACTCATGAGGTGTGAGTAGCGCAAAGGCTGACAGATGGCAGCGTAGCGGTCATAAGCCATGATGGCCAGCAACCAGCATTCTGAGCCCGAGAAGCCATCAAGAAGAACATCTGAGCAAAGCAAAGGTTGTAGGATATGGTGTGTCTTTGGCGAAGGAGATTTGCTAGGATCTTGGGGACGGTGACCGTTGAGTAGCAGACATCCAAGCAGGATAAGTGGCTGAGGAAAAAATACATGGGACTGTGAAGGTGGGAGTCCACCAGGATGAGAGTGATGATCATGAAGTTACCCAGAATGGTGACCAAATAGATGATGAGGAACAGCAGGATGAGATAGACCTGGCCATGTGTGATGTTGGAGAAACCCAGAAAAACAAACTCAGTAACTAGAGTGTGGTTGCTGAAATCCATGGGAATTCAGGGATCCTGAGTAGCAAAGATCTGAAGGAGAGCAAAAAGATAACTAAATGAGTTTTTTGTTTTAACCTCCAAATATACACCAATTTTACAAAGCAAATATTTTGACTTGTCTGCTCAGGTTTTGTGGTGGATTAAACAGTCTACAAAATATAAATTGTGCACTTAATCGAAGTTGACAGAGATACTAAGTTATTATTTTTTGCTCCTATCGATTGAAATCTGTCAACTCTACTAGGGCCATCAAACAGTTAACAGAATAACAGAATTGGAAGGGGCCTTTGAGTCCAACCCGCTCCTCAAGCAGGAGACTCTCTACCATTCTGGACAACAGGCTGTCCAATCTCTTCTTAAAACCTCCAGTATTGGAGCACCCACAACTTCTGGAGGCAAGTCATTCCCTTTAAATCTCAAAGACTCTTCTTGGGTGTAGGCAACGTCTGATAATTCCACATTCAAGGCTTGGTTGATGAAGAGTAAATGAAGCACCTTTCAGATCTCCTGTAATGACAAGTAGTCATAACTACGGAACTGAAGAGGCTACAAACATGGCTTTCCAAGCAGGAGAACTCAGGAATCTGCTTCAGTTGTCTCGCAGTGTCAGTTGAAGATGTTCTCCACTCTAGAGCTTAGCCTGAACACTTCATGCATCATGTTCACATTACTCTAGTTTACTGGATGGCTTACATTTCAGGGTGTACTTCCAATGATTAATTTCTCTCTTGTTTTTGTTCATCTCGGGGACTTCTTCTCAACATGTTCATTTGATGCCTTCAGCGGAGGTTTTCTCTTCCTGAAAGCACCATCTTCATCCAGGAGATGAAGGAGAAGCTCTTTCTGATAAGGAGAAAAATGAAGAATCTTAGCCATAGTTTCCATCTGCAGTTGGGGACTGACTGACTTGAGTCTTAACAGGGTAAGATTGAAGCGACCTTGGACAACCTCAGAATGTATGGCTAGATTAGCATGGAGCAACCTTGGAAATTCCAGGGAAAGTCAAGGAAGATCTCAGCAGAAGGCTTTGGGAGAACAATATGCCAGAGAACTTGGTAGAGAGGTTGATCTGGGAAACAAGTTCCATGTTAGAACATTTTGGATCAAGACTTCAGAACATCTTCCTCAAAACTTCCTCCCCTCCTAAGAACAAACTGCCCTGAAACTATGGAAGGTGAGTTAGAAGTTACCTTCTGACACAAATAAAGAAAAGAATATTGTAGGAAGAAGAGTAAACTATGAATGCTAATGTCTTTCTAGAAAGCTATGATAGATCTATGCTCAGAATGCCCTTATGGCCTCCACATTTAAAACATGGTGTCTCAGAACTGGAAAAAGAACATGAGAGGACAAGAAAAATGATAAAGGAGCTCAAATCCTAGCCTTGGAAAGAGATTTAGAAGACACCAAAGAAAATCTTTCTTCACACAGCCACAAATCAGGGTGAAGGCATCTAACTTGCATGTCCTTGAATGAGTGTTGCATGAACTCACAACGGACACATACTGTATTTCCTGGGCTACTCAGACCAGATGCAGCTGGCTGAAGAAATGTTTGTCTTTTACCTGGAAGTACACATGAAGGAATCATTAATGGTCTGCCTTTTCTGCTTGGAGGCGTAGTAAGGGTGTCCCTTTAAAGCTTGGGAGATAGAACACTACCTGAAGGAGGGTGAGGGGACAAGCCTAACATGAAGATTTTGGGGGAGGCATTCTGTGAAGCTACTGACCTGGGGGTGGGTGGGCTGCTGGTGTCTTGCTCCAGATGTGGTGATGAAGCTCACCTCTGCATTGCTCTCGGTCCACTTTTTTTGAAGGGAGGAAACATGCATTGGCTTCATTTGGGCTTCATTTGGGCTTCTTCTTTGTCTCCTGCACAGAAGACAAATGAATGGAAGGTGTTTGCTCTCCAATGTCTTTAAGGTATCCCCCAACCTCCTTGGCCCAAGAGTGGAATTCATTATGGAAAGAGCCAGGCTGAGGGAGGGAGAAGACTGTGGTTGTGCATGAGGGAGACAAAAGTAACTGGGGACAATTAGTCCAGAGGGAATGTGCAATCCTGAAGCCCACAAGCATAAAGTAATGATGTTGTGTTCAGATACCATGTTCTGTCCCACTGAGGAGACCACACAAAGACCAAAGTTGGGAGATGGAGCCTAATTTGCTTTCCATGGTAGCCTGGTCCACAATATCCCCATTTTAGCCAAGGTGGGCGTGTTCCCCAAACCCACTCCTATTTCTTCTCTTTTCAGTTGACCTCAACAAGGAGCCTCAAGGACCACAAAGCTGGTTCCTGGCCAGGGTCACAGCAAGAAGCCAGAGGGGCCTCTGTCAGAAGGGCTTCTTCTGGGATTTTACAAAGAGTTCAGAGATGAGCAACAAAGATGATTAGGGAACTGGAGGCTAAAACATACGAAGAACCGTTGCAGGAATTGGGTGGGTCTCAAACAAGGACTAGGCGGGACATGATGGCAGTCTTTCAATATTTGAGGGCTTTCATCAAGAAGGGGAGTCAAGTCAGTCAACCTATTCTCCAAAGCACCTGATGGCAGAATAAGAAGTAATGGATGAGGATAGCCAGAATGTTCAAGAATAAATTGGAGAAGTGTTGGAAATGTCAACAGACCCCAGGATCCTATTACCATATTTTATTTATTTATTTATTAAATTTGTATACCGCCCTTCTCCTTTCGGACTCAGGGCGGTGAACAGCCAAAATAAAAACATTTGTACACAAAAGTTAAAATAATTATTAAAACTAATTAAATGAAATTTGGCCCATAATTTAAAACGTATCAATTAAAATCAGTATCAAACGTTAAAACCAACATGGAATCAGGCCAGCCCGGCTAGCTGAAAAAGGTCAGTTTTTAGGGCCCGACGAAAAGTCCGGAGGTCTGGGATCTCTTGTATCTCTGGAGGTAGATCGTTCCAGAGGGTAGGTGCCACCACAGAGAAGGCTCCATATGTGTTGGACATGCGTAGAAACAAGAAGACATTGGACTAAGATATACATGTGGTTGGAAAAAATGATAAAGAGACATATTGATTTTAAACCAGAGATATTCCTATTAGGGATCTTACCAGAGACATATAATAAAGAACTGCAAGATTTAATTGTGAATATTTTAACAGCGGCTAGAATTGTATTTGCTGAAAATAAAAAAAAAATTCTTAAAAAAAAAAAGAAGTAATGGATGGCAACTAATCAAGGAGAGAACCAACCTAGAACTAAGGAGAAATATGCCAACAGTGAGAACAATTAATCAATGGAACGGCTTGTCTTCAGAGGCTGTGGGGGCTCCATGACTGTAGGTTTTCAAGAAGGGCTTGGAGAGCCCTTGGTCTGTAATGGTATAGGGTCTCCTGCTTGACTAGGGGGTTAGACTAGAAGACCTCCAAGGCTCTTCTCTTCTCTTCTCTTTCTCTCCTCTCCTCTCCCCTCAAAATCTTAGTCCTGGGGTCTGGCTACCCCCAAAGCAGTTGGTTCAGAATTTGGGACTTTCTTTCTGTCATGTGATTATAGGTACCAGGATCCTTCAGAGATGATGGTTCTGACCTTAACTGTGGCACTGCTGGATTACTGTAGGACCTTCTAAATGGGGCAGCTTTTGGAGACAGACTGGAAGCTGAAAGTGTCCAAAATGAAGGGGAGATTGGGAGGAGGTTCAGTCCTGCCATGGCTGGTCTCCTGGGAGGGTTCCAGATACAGTTCCGTTCTGGTGAACTGGCCAACATTGAGGTCAACCTGGGACAGTACCAGGATACATCAGGCATCCCCCATCTGGGAAATACATCCCAACCCAGTTCCGCCTGCCTCCCCCTCCCCCCACTTCCTAGAAAGCTAACAGGATATGGTAGAAAGTTGCTTTTCTTGTTATGAAGCCCAACCTTTGCAGATCTCCACCACTGAAGGTCCAGACTGCTCCCCAGCCCTCGATATTTCAGAAAACGGGCAAAACAACCCCTATTCTACCAAGCTTCCATGTTCTCCGCGTTCTGATAGTAAATTGTGTTGCTTTATATTTCTACTGTATTGTAAAAGGTGTCTCCTGTTTGAGGCAGGCTAGAGCGTTTCTTTATAAATGTTTGTTTGTTTGTTTGTTCATAAAATATAACTGCCTAACTCCAGTGGACTTGGGGCAGCATGCAAAGCCAAACAAAATCCATCAAAGTCCCAAAAGTGCTTTTCCAAAAGGCAACTGGACTTCCTTGGTTTTTTTTCCTTGAAAACATTTCACTTCTCATCCAAGAAGCTTCTTCAATTCTGTGACACAGACTGATAGAAGATAAGATAGACAGACAGACAGACAGACAGACAGACAGATGACAGATGACAGATGACAGATGACAGAAGATAGATAGATAGATAGATAGATAGATAGATAGATAGATAGATAGATAGATGGATGGATGGATGGATGGATGGATGGATGGATGGATGGATGGAGCCATTATAGTTCCCCCACAGTCACAGGAGTGTAATTCAGGCTATTGGCCAAGGGAGTGCGATGGCTAAAGTAGATAACCAATGTTTGGAAAGAAAACAGGCCAAGCTTGCAATTCTTCATTTATTATATTCAAGAAAAGAATAAAGAATTTATTATATTCAAGAAAAAAAATTATGAATTTGCAATTTAATGACAAAATTTCAAACAAAACATTGGGAGGGGAATGGAAATAGGAAAATCCCCCAAAGCGTTCCAGATAAATTTGCTCAATAACCTAACAATGTGAGGAAAATACATATAGCAAATAAAAATTTCCTTCAGAGTTCTAGTTGTTAAGTTGGGTGAATGAGGACGCAGCAAGCCAGGCAGTGAGTGACAACAGCTCTTTAATGTAGGGTGAGAACCCAGCGACTGACCGAGGGAAACAGCTCCCTTTATATACCTTGCAGCTGTGGTGGTCAGCCAATCAGCTGAGGGTCAGTTAGTTCAAACTTCCCGCCAAGAAAACCTATTTACATAACACTAGTCATCATGCATGGGGGGAAAAAAA